TAAAAAGGAATTTTTTAGCTTTTTGGGCTTGACAAAAAGTAAACCAATTAAGTCCTATATGCCGCTAAAAACGAAATATACATATGTTTAACTAACCTATCAAAGCATTAATTGAAATTAAATTTTGTTTTATTTTTTCTACAATGTGACAATAAAAACAAAAACATATAACTTAAGTTGTCACGACTTAAAAATATATCCCAAATATTTGTTTCCACCAGATAGTTTTTGAAACTTTAGTTTGACAGTTTTGTATCAAACTATACTCTTATATACACTTTATTATTTAAAGGATATTGATATTTCTGGGCAGACAAATTCTTTGTTAATTCAAATATTTAGTAACTTATTTATTTTTCATATCAGCTTAGTAGAACAAATAATTATTTTACCAGAAACTAAAAAAAATATTACAGATATACTTTTTATGTTTTTCTACTTTCAAAAAAGATTGTATTCCTTAACAAATATATTTGAAGTGCATTTTTTTAAAAGAGAACAGATTAAGCATACGACGTGTTGTGCAGTTATCATCAAGATGGCAACGATTCCTAACGGAACGCCATGCGTCGTCCCATGGCGGAGGTCTGTCCCCATCCTCCGTTCGTTGGTCGTCGGTAATTTATGATTCGCAGCGCACGGCCTGCAAATGATCTATTGCCCATTGCAGTTATCCGAACGGCGGAGGAGGAGCATAGGACTTTGGATCGGCACTTGTTGCATCAGCATCGGTACACTATAACAGCTACAAGTGATTTCTTTCGCATCGGGCCTCCAGGCGCTCCTGACAGTTACAAAGTGCGCCCACTAGTTGGCGGTCAGGCTAAAATGACCCAAACCAAAGCCAAGGCACAATGCATATACGCGTTGTCGACGCCATCTCCCAACCTTTGATTAATGGACTTTTCGTGTTGGCTTCGATTCTGGCCCCGGCGTCATAAATAAACCTAAAAATGCAACAACAGGCAAAAGGTGGAGCACGTCGGTGCTGTGCATATTTATCATTGGTAAACTTTATTCTTTACATTTACATACAACACGTTAAAATTACTTGTCCAATTTTATTAACTTTAGGTATTACAATATTAGACTTATTCGTATGGATATCGTAATTGAAGTGGGTTGAAAATTGAAAAGTAATTGTTTACAAAACAGAAATCTATGTCAATTTTAATCTAATCTGGCTACTATAAGTTACGATTTTGTGTTCCGGCGGAGCGCAGAATGGGAGAGCTAGAAAACGATCGCATGCTGATGAGCATGTGTAAGATCTATACAATTCGAGCTGACTTGGCTCTATCTATTGCTTTTGCTACTGCTGATCCTTTCGCTGTTGCTTCTGCTGGTGCTGGAGTTTCTGCTGATTGCTTAGACCGGCTGATCTCGACCTGCTTCTTGAGGCACTATAAGGACGGCGGGTCGTACTGGAAGCCCGGGTTGTTGAACTTAAAGCGCGCAATCTCGAACTGCAGTGTCTCGTAGTTGATGTCGGCCAATCGCTTCAGCTGGTGGGCGATCTGCTGGGCATCGCTACTGCTCAATGCGGCGCCAAGCGAACTCGGCTCCCGCTCCAGCTTTGTACTATGCAGCGGCGGCACTGCCTGCATGTTCGAAATGCATCGCGGCGCATTTTTAACTGAAATAGTAGGAGCAAACGTAATTATTAGTAAACAATTAGCTTGGCAAATGAGATTTTTACAATCTACACAAAGTGTTACAACAAAATCACCTAACAATGACTCTTCATAGAATATGTGATATATATAAAAAATCTTTCCACGTTTCAATATATTTATAAACAATTTTTTCAAAAGGCAACAAATGTTTGCTCTTGATGCCATACCATTTTTTTGAATACAAAATATTTGAATTATGTTATAACCAATAAGCTGTATTGCCTGACAGAAAAGCAAACAAAAAAGGGTTTACCAATAGAAAGTTAACCCTTTCCCTTAATCGAAATGTAATATTTACCTTCGTAGATGATTTGCTCCCGGGGCTGTGTGCGCAACCGCTTGACGGGCAACTCGCCATTGATCAGCTTATTGCCGGTGGAAGCCGTACCCGGATTGATGACTGCTGCTGCCGGTCTCCGGGACGTGACAAACTCCACGGCGTGTGGCTGCACCGTCTGGGGTTCGTCATCGACATGCTCAAAGGATGTGTTGTCCACGACGATGGTGCGATATGTTCCGCCGCCCGTGTTTACCGCCGTAGTGGACGCCGTGATGCCGGCATCGGCCAGATTCTCCTCCATCATGTCCTCGTGATCGACATGCTCCTCGACCATCTCCTCCTCATCCACCTCGTCATTGATGGCCTCCTCCACCGCGGCCTGCAGTTCCTTTTGAAACGCCGCCGAAGTACGCTGACCCAGATCCTCCATTTCGTCGTCGTGGTCGTCCTTCTCGGACTTTAAGTTTAGCAGCGTTTCGCCGGTAGTGGTGGGCACCTTGCCGAAGAGATCGAGAGCTCGGGTCTCCACGGACGTCATGGAGATGTCCTTTTCCGTGGACAGCAGACTTCTTCTGTACTTGCAGCGCGTGGTGTTCTTCCAGTCGTTTAGCCGCTATTTCGGAGATTGGGATTAGAGATTAGAGGGGGTATATGGGATATCTAGTGACCTCCGCACCTTGCGCCACTCCTCCGGCGTGAGTGTGGGTCCGGAACTGCACTTGTTTAGCCGGTCGGAGAGCTCCTTCCACTTTTTGGTCAGATAGTTCAGGTCGTAATCGCGCGGCACTCGTCCGGTCGCGAAAATGGGGTCGCTCTCCATCATGTCGATGTACATCTGGTATTGCTCCGAGGAGGTGCGTTTCTTGCGGCGATCCATCTTGCCGGTCATCCGATGTCCTAGCTGGGTCCTGGAGTCCTACTTTTCCTAACAAAATCGCTCTCAAAAACGTTAAAATGCAAATCGACGCCACTAAACGATGCGAAGTGTTCACAAACAATTGCAGGCGTTTGGGATTTTCTGGCGCATGTTAGTTGCTGGCAGCGCAGGGTTGTACTCGCCTTGTCAGTGGTGCGCACCGCGAAGCTGGCGGGAAACGTTAATTTCTCACGCCAGACGATAGTTTGTTAAAAGAAGTTGTACAATTCAAAAAATTGATTTCAAGTAACTTAAAATAAGTTTTACAATTCAAAAAATTGATTTCAAGTAACTTAAAATAAACTGATAAAATATTCATGTTAATATATTTCCCAAAATAATGTTATGTTCTTGATACATTATAGCTCATTCCGCCAGGCGATAGTTCTCTTATTAAAGTTAAATATAATAAGATATTTAGCCATCTTGTTGCGTCTTTCGCCGCGGCGGATGCTTAGTTTAAACTTAATTTAAAACGCGGGCTTATATCAACACACAAAGAACCTCAATCTAAGCCGTTACTTAACCTACAGTTTTCCAAACTTCCCACTACTAAGTATTTCGTGCACAATCCATTCTATAAAGAAATTAAGTTATGAGCTGTAATATATTTTTTATGTTCTCTAATTTTTGAAAACAATTATTTTAAATACCTAATACTCCTGTAGTAACCGGGAACAGAACATATAATATACATTGTATATTATGCTTTCCAAAGTAAACAGGGCTTTTTGAATCTAGCGCCCCTGGTGGCGCCATCTATATGTCGAATGGTGCGTTAGAATGAGCTATCTTTATCGATTGAGAATTTCAGAATTTTATTATTATTTTATTTCATCGATAAAAGTGAAGTTATTGCGTTTTAAATGTTAGTTAGTTTGTGTTATAGTTGCGAGAATGAGCTCCGAACAAAGAGCCAACATTAAATTTTGTTTTAAAGTTGGTAAAACTTTTACCAAAACTTTTCGATTGATAAAACAAAATGTATGGCGTTGATTGCCTATCCCGTAGCAGAGTGCACGAATGGTTTCAACGTTTTCAAAGTTGTCGAGAGGACATACATATGTAAATGACGATCAACATGTGGGCCAGTCAAAATTCGTGAATCGAAAATTCCATCGAAACTCATCAAAAATCCGCCGAAATCATCATTGAAATTCATGGAAATGGAATTGAACATTTCCAAAACATTGATTTATCGCATTTTGTCCGAACATTTGGGCCTACGAAAGGTGTGTGCACATTTTGTCCTGCACAAACTGACTGACGACCAAAAATTACTAAGAATCCAACATTCGAAGGACATTCATTAAAGAGGTCAAAAAGGACAAAAACTTCCTTTACTGACTGGTGTCGAAACTTGGTGTTTCCAATATGATCCAGATACAAAATCCCAAAATGCTGAATGGAAAGCTCAGGACGAGCCGAAACCAAAAAAATCACGCATGGAGAAGAGTGGTGAAAAGTAAAGACAATGCTGATTTGTTTTTCTAATTCTGTGGGTATTGTCCACAAATAATTTGTTCCACCCGGCCAAAACGTTACTGTGGTATTCTACCTTGGGGTTTTGAAGCGTTTGGCGTCTGTTGCACGATAATGCGCCGTCTCATCGATCGACTCTTGTGACCAATTATTTGCCTAAAAGTCACTTTTTAACCATTAATCACCCTCGTATTCACCTGATATGCAGTGGCGGATCCACGGGGGGGAAATTAGGTAAATTTCCCCCCCCCTTGGAACCGCAGAACCTGAAAATTTCACTTGTTTGCTAGAAATCACCGCGATTTCCAGTTTTCGTCTTTTTCAATTTCCCCCCCCCAAGAATCGTCTCTGGATCCGCCACTGTGATATGGCACCGTGTGACTTCTTCCTTTTCGGAAAAATGCATTTAGCCATGAAAGGAAAGCGTTATGCAGACGTAGAGACCATTCGAAAGGCTTTCACCGGCCTACTGGGAGCCATACGAGTCAACGAGCTAAAACACTCGTTCGACATGCTTTTGGACCGTGCAAAAAGCTGTATTGAAGTAGGAGACTATTTTGAATAAAATATTATAATATAACTTATATTGTCAAATGAAATGTCTATACAACAGTGCTAATAACGACTAAGCAGTTTAATAAACATCTATAGTGTACAAACATAATTTTTATTTGAAGCGATTGTTTTACTCAAGTGATTTAAACTATCAACTGATATATTCTGTACTATTCTGTGACTTTAAATTCTTCGCAGAATTAACAGGTCCCTCGATGCTTACATATTAAATTGTACAAGATGATTATTAAAACTAAGGCTATAACTCCGGGATGTACTCGAATCCGGGATTATTATATTTGAAGCGGGCTATCTTGAAATGCAAAGAGGCCTCGTTAATGTCGGATATGCGTTTTAGCTGCTTCTCGATTTGTTTGCCGTAGGAGATGGCAGGTTCATTTATAACAGATTGTATTGGTGCTGCTAGACTCGTTACTAAAAATAAAAATGTTGTTTATTGAGAAGTTCTCCAACAATCTGGCGAGAATTTACCTTCGTAGATGATCTCCCCGGAACCTTCCAGCCTTATTCTTTTACCGGTATTATGGGCATTTATAATTGTTGGGGGACCCAATTCGTGTGCCGGAAAAAGCCCTTGATACTGTTCATCCTCCGTTTCCTGTTCCTCCTCAACCTGTTCTTCATGCTCCACATGCTCCTCCTCCACTTCCTGGAAACCCGCGCGAGCAGGGAGCTCTCGGTATGTTGGTTCAAGGGAGAAAATTTGCAGAGCTCGTTTTTCCAGAGGAGTTATAAAGCTATTCTTATCATCCGAACTGACGCTGCGTCGATACTTGGAGCGCGTGCTGTTCTTCCAGTCATTGAGGCGCTGGAAATAATTAAGAAGGATGTTCAGTTCCTTGCGGCAATATGTGTGATCGTTATAACACAAACCTTTCGCCATTCTTCCGGCGACAGAGTAGGACCCGATGTGCACTTGTTCAGCTGATCGCTCAGCTCCTTCCATTTTTTTCCATCCAGTGTGCGGCTCAATTTGTTGGCCGACATCAACGGATTTTCCTCCATGAAGTCCAGATAGATCTCATACTGGTAATAGGAAGTGCGCTTGTTGCGACGAAGCATGTTGGTACTGAATATAAGCCAAGAATTGAAAACAAACAAATTGAAACCGACGCCACAAGATAGCAATAAACGAAGAACTATCGATAACGCAAGCAGTGCAGTCTCACTAACGCCTCCAGGCAAATAAAATACCAAAATATCCAGTCACTGTTTTACAGATTAAAAAATATCAAAATATTTGTTTAGACTAGCTGATTAAAAAAAGAATTAACTAGAAGCTATCATACCCACATCTATTTCGCTAAATTGTGTAATGGTTAAATATCTACAATACATTGTAAAACTACTAAAATAACGCTTTGATTAATTCAAAAAACTTAAAATAAAAATAAATTAGGCCGATACATGAAGAAACAACTCTTAAAAGTGATTTTAAAAATGTATTAGTTTACATATTGTTAGTGATTTTTGATGAAACATATTGTTGAACATACTCGACAGTATTCCTTTATTTTCTAATATTATCAACCCAAGAATTAAATCAAGTTATCTTTATTTTATATATCAAAATACTTTTATGTTCCGAAGTATTTTGTAAGAAGTTGGAGCTCCGACTTGGTCTACCGTAGCATTCAGCATTTTCCGGTCCGCGTCGTACGGTCATATCTTAGAGCACAAGAAATCGAGTTTCCTGCATTTTCAATTGTCAAAATATCCGAGTCATAGTGCGAATTCTGGTCTGAAAACAGTGCGATAGCCAGCAGCAGACTTCTGACCTCCATCTAGATTGGAAGAAAGTACGGAAAATGCGGCCACAGGCCCGTGAAAGCCCCGTAGAAAACGACGCATGAGATCCAAATTGCGAACCAGATGATAGAGTAGCGTGCCAGCGAGAGCGAGCGAGAGAGAGTGAGAGCAACGGAGAGGAAGAGAGGAGGCCAGAGTAGACACAAAACTCCGAACGGAGTTCTCGCCCATTTTCCGGCCGATTTTGCAATCTATACAGGTGCTATATAGTCGGCGATATGGCCGAGGAGGCGCCTGGGGGCAATGCCGGTGATGTGCCGGATTCTGGGGCGGAGGATGTGGGCGCTTCGGTCATCGTGGAGCCGGGATCAGATGCATCCAATGCTGGAACCCGTACTCTTCCAGCAGCTGCGATGAAGTTCGCCGATCTCACAGAGAGTGGCAGCGAGTCCGGTGACAACGAGGGTGGGGAATCCGGGGCTGCGGGCCCGGAAAATGGCAATACCAACGGTGAGCCGGGGACCAGTGCATCCGCAACGGCCGAAGACGCAACAGGACGCTCCTCACCGCCGCCCAATTGCGCCATCTGCTTGTCCCGCTGCCGGAGGAAGTGCTTCACAGATTCCTGCATGCACCAGTTCTGCTTCAAGTGCCTGTGCGAATGGAGCAAGGTGAGTAGTCTACTTAGCCGAAAACGAAACCAGACCTCTAAAGCAATTCCCTATTTCCCAGATCAAACCCGAGTGTCCGCTGTGCAAGCAGCCCTTCAAGACCATCATACACAATGTCCGCACCCTGGACGACTACGATCGCTATCCAGTGCAATCCACTTCGCCTGTTCTGCAGGATCATCCCTCCCTACGTTTCCATATAGTCAGGCGTCCCAGGTTCATGCCTCTGGTGCAGAACCAGGCCGTGATGACTAACGATATAGAGGCGGGCATAGCGGCCGGAGGTGCAGGAGAAGAGGTCCTGCCAGCAGCCGAGGTGGCAGCCGGCAGGCATTCGTACAGCCGCTTCGAGCCCTACCGCATGGAGCTGATGAACTTCTACCGGCACGACCAGGATGCTGCCACTTCGGGCTCGTTGAGCCAACTCTGGCGGCGCTATGTGTACGACAGGAAGCTGTATGCCTTGCCCGTCAGTGATACATTGACGGGACACTTTCGCGAGTGGAGTGCCCGCTTTTACAGGTGCGTGCTGATACCTTCTACTCTCCATTTCCCACATACTTATACTCTTTACCATTACAGAAACAATCCCGCCCAGATGCATCGCCTGATGCCTTGGATCCATCGCGACATCGTCTGCCTGCTGAGGAACGCAGCCCATAGCGTGAGCACTGTGGTGCAGCTGATGCACGACATCCTGCCCATGACGAATATACTCGGGCCCACATTCCGTCGAAGGCTGTCGCCGTTTCTGGGGGAGCGCACCAGCCACTTTATCCACGAGCTATTTAACTTTGCCCGCTCCCCCTTCGACATGATCGGCTACGATCATGTGGTCCAGTACTCGTCACGCGTGGCCGAGGAGGTAGAGGTGGATCTACTGGACATGGTGGAGACCCAGTCTTCGAACGGCAGTGATCTCCACCTGGAGGTGGCCGATGGCGAGGGAGAGGCTGGCAATGCCGAGTCCTCGAACGGTTGGAACGCCGTCAGCGCTCTACGTCCATCGACCAGTGTGATTGTGACCAATCCCGGTGCCACACATTCCTTCAGCGTGACAATGGCCAGCGATGGCAGTGAGCTGCCGGGCATCTCCATACGCCGTACAACTACATCCAATGTAGGCTCCCAAACGGTGGCCATCAACTTGAGCATGCGGCGTCCAGCAGCGGTTGCCAGCGAGGACGCGGAGGTTATAGAGATCGACGATGGCGATGCAGCTGCGAATGCAGAAGTGGCGGCCATCAATGATGGGAGCAACCCCAGCAGGAGGCACGCTGGTGCCACTCTCCCAGTGAGTGCTCACATCGAACTGCAGAGCAGCAGCAGCTCTGGTGATGAGGATGAGTGTGTATTTGTGCTAGAACTGAAGCCACCACACCTGCGTACTCCCGAGCAGGTCAGCTTGGACTCGAATAGTGACTCTGATGTGGTTTTCGTAAACGAGCAAAATGAAGCTCCTCCCGCTGCAAGTGTTGGCGACCAGGCGATACAATCACCTGTGGATCAGTCCTCCAGAGATCAGGGTTTGTTTATGGGCCCCAGCACAAGTGCAGCGGCCAATAGGGGCAAGAACTGGAAGCTGGTGGTGGCGGAGGCACGTCGCCTCGATCAGTTGCGCACTTTGCGATCAACACGCTCGAAGAGATCGCGTCAGCGCTCCTCCGTCCCTGCTCGGAGTGGCAGTGGCAGCAGCAACAGCAGCTGCAGCAGCTCTTCTTTCCATTTCAACAGCAGCAGTGATGAGGATAGCAGTGCCAGCAGTTCCTCAAATGCAGAGCCAGCCAAAAGAAAAAAACGCAAGAAGGCGTCAAGCAGAAAACGTTCGGGCAAAGGCTCGAAGGGGAAAAGATCATCTCGCAAAAGGAGACGCCGTGCGGAGGAAATCAATAATGATCTGAGCCAAGTGGAGGTGGCGGTGCTGGAGCTGCAGAGACAGCTGGAGCGGGAGGTGGCCGAGCAGCAACCGCAGGAACAACCGGAAAGCAGCAGTGACAGTCCTAGTTCGTCTGATGACGAATCCGCTGCCGATAGCAGCGAGACGTCCGGTAAGTGGCACCGAACAAATACTTTTCTTATCGCAACGATGTCAAAAATTTTTGCGGTGAATATAATTCGAAACATATAGAAACAATGGTATAGCGTTCTACATATCTGTTCGTAGTAGTTTCACAATGATTGTGAAATAATCGCTTAGTAATTAAATCAACTAAATTACTACTTGGGCAGTGCTTTCAACCAAGCACTTGACTTAATAGTGGAAAATTTTTAAAATTATTATAATGTTACACCGATACAATAAGTTTGGTTTGTTTTAATTCAATTCCAATCTGATAAAACTTCCACTTGAAATTATTATGCCAATAGCGGAGCGTAGTGAAAATTCTTAATAACTCTCAAACCAAGAATACTTGGGAACAATAATATTTAAAAACTAGATATCTCTTTCAACCAGATTATGTTGGAGTTTGTATGGATGTATGATACGATTCCAATTTGGTTGAAAGAGATGTCTGCTACACCCCGTGTTGTAGTTTTATTTCGTTGATCTGGCTTCTCGATTTAATTTTTTCTCAATACCATTTTTCAACATTTTCCCTAGGTCCACCCAATACCAATAACAACAATTCCAGTAGTGATGGCTCGGATGATGACAGCACTGAGAATCTACAGCTTAGCGCTCTGCGGGCCACATTAAAAGCGGAGGCAACTCTGGAGGATCGAAAACCACTCAAACTAGAGCTGAGGATGCCCGATGGCGATGATGGGGAACAGCAGCAGGAGGTGCCCCATAATGCAGAGACGCTTCCAGCCCCGACAGACGACACCGAACCGCAATGCAGTGCACCAAAGCGGCGTCGCAGCTGCAGCAACAGCAATCTGTCCAGCCAGAGCGCCAGTTTGGCCAGCAGCTCAACCGCCACATCGAGCTCGGTGCCCATGAGCTCGTTTAGCTGGAGGGCATCGGGCTATGCCGGCGATCCCCTGATGCGTGGTCCTGTAGCACTGGAGGAGCACGATATAGCAAACTCCCTAATTGAATTGTCCACGCTGACGCAGCCAAGGGAGATCGGGCTGTTTAACGAACATTCTGACGGGGTAGAGATATCCCTTAGCTTCCTGCGCAACACTCTACGCGGCAGCCCACATGCTCTGGAGGAGGATGACGCGCATCTAGGAATCTATTCCGATGCAGATGCGGATCCAGAGCCCAGTAATGAACGAAGCCCCTTGGAAGCAGCCATCGACGTTGTGGGGGAAGCAGAGGTGGAAACCGCCGAGGATACAGCCACTGCCACTGAAGAACAAGATGAAGAGGATGAAGACATTGACGATGACGATGAAGGCGAAGATGAACAAGAAGAGAAAGCGGAGGACGACGAAGAGGAGGAGGATGATAGCGATAACAACGATGAAGAGGAGGAGGATCAGGAGCCGGAAAACAATGACCCAGACGATGCGGCCTGGGCCCTTATGCTATAATAAGCTAATGATTCGATTTTCATTTAAGGTGTTTATTTAATGGCATGTTTAACTGGTTTCCGTCTTGTATTGTTCCGATTCCTGAATCCCCTGAACCCAAAAAAAAAAAAATTAATGTAACTTGCTATGTAAGTAACTAAAACCAGTAAGCTTAAGCTCAAACTAGGTGTATTCTAGGAGTAGGGTTGCCATTTTAAGTTGTACATATTCAAAACCCGTATATCTTGATATATATATGTATGTTTACACACCTATCTACTTTAACATTATTTAAATGTTCTCGCATATAGCCCACCCCCAAAAATGCATTCGATATCCCTGAAGATCGCTCCCTTCCAATCCCTGCATCGACTGTAAATGTATTTATTTAAGTTAACCACAACCTACTTATACTAACTATATATAATGACAGCTTACTTGGCTGCTCTTAGCTTATAAATCATAGAACTAGCGCCGATCAATGTATGGCGAGAGTGTTAATGTTTTTTGCATAAATGGGCGTGGCCAGTTATGAATTTTACTGTACTCTGCATACAAAGAAGAAAAAATATCTATAATACGAATCAAATACATAATAAATGTAATGATTAAATGTAGACGATTTGGGTTTTATTGTTTTTTTTACGTTCTATCTGGAAATTTTTTTGCAAATAAATCGAGTAAATGGGACAGGGCTGTGTATTTTTGTTTGTAAAACTGATATTTCAAATGGAACCAATAAATATTATAATAACAGTTTCAAAAAAAAATATATAAAACAGCTCTTAAAATTTCTATTTTTAAGTTGCTTAACACAATATTTTCAATTGTCAGAATATTTAAACGCAAATTTAAAAAAGACACGGAAATAACATACAAATTTTTTTAGTTACTGGTTGCTGTGATCGAATTAATTTTTTTTGTTGAATGTATCGAGTTTACACGGTATCTGAAAAAGTTATTTCTCATTTCCAATGTTCCCAATTTTACTCGTCGTATCATGCAGAAAGCCCTAAGTCTTCACATATCGTAGGGATCCATAATCCCGTTGTTTCTGCGCAATAAACAAAAGTTCTTGGCTCAGGCGGTTTCTTATTTCGGCTTTTGTGTATTGTATATTTGACAAGTTATTTGTTTAATAATTGTTAAGTAAATATTGTCATATTACGTACAAAAATACTAGTGTGTAAGTGACAGAAGGCAGAGAAACAATGGAATCCAATTTGTGTCTGCCAATTTCAGAAATTTTCCTTTACACTTCGAGCTGAAGTTTCGTGGGATTTGAAAAATTTAATTTTAATTGATTGGAATATAACCAAGTAGTAATGATGCCCCGGCAAATGGTCCAGTGGCGTGTGTACGTCTACGCCAATTCGCTATATTCGCTGCCGGAGCGCGAAAAACCTGACTATCGCGATTGGTCGCCGAATTTCTTTCGGTGAGTTTTAGACCCACAAAAGTTTTTCTAATCTCCGAAATCAATCCATTTCACAGCCGCAATCCCTACGAAATCCATCGGGTTATGAACTGGGTGAACCGGGATGTTTCGGTGCTCGTTAAAACCGGAAAAGCAGATGTTTTCTATCTGTACGAGACCATCTTGAGCCTACTACCTCGCGTGAGCATTACGAGCTTAAACTTCGGGGCGGCGCTGTTTAGCTACTTCGGCGCCAAGACCCATCACTTTGTCCACGAACTGGTCAACTTTGCCCGCTCCCCGTACAATGATCTGATAGCCTACGAGTGTAACACTCAGTACAGAGCTTTGCCGGAGGATGAGGGTGGTCCCAGCACTTCGTCGATGGCTAAGGAACGCCTGGCTTTGTCCATGAGACTGCACAACTTTGTGGAGTTCTCACGGCGCATCAACCACGATGATTGCGGTGGCTTTGAGGCGGACCTAAAGCTGGAGGATGAGGACTTCGGGGAGCTGGATGATTTGATGATCGAGCGCTTCAATCGTCCTTTAGTGTTGCAATTGGCAACCAGAGCCCCTCCAAATACATTAATTACACCCCCTGCTCAGCAGGCTACTCAGGGGAATCAGCAAACGAAATCCCGTCAAGCGGCACAAAGCCAACAGCAGCAGGCTCAGCAGTCGCAGCAGTCTCAGCAGTCCCAGCAGTCTCAGCAGTCTCAGCAGTCGCAGCAGTCCCAGCAGTCCCAGCACTCCCTGCAGTCCCTACAGCCGGGACAACGTGCTCGACATCAGCAGGCATCGCAATCAGGACATCAGCAGGCCGGCACCTCGTCCAGCAGCCTGCAGGTGAACGGAATACCCGTGGAAGATCTGGATCTCGAGGTGGCCATCGAGCGCAGCATGTTTGAGGCTGGACAAGGCGTCGTGCCAGGCGGACAGGGATCGGATTTCGTCCTGTCAGGCGGACGATTGGTGCGTGTGGGCAATACCCGTTTGGTGCGCAATGGAAATGGAGCCGGACCCGCACCTGGATCCGGATCCGGATCGGGAACGATGAATGCACCACCATCAACTGGAGCTGCAAGCATAATCTCAGTCCAAAATCTTCCAGCTGCGCGTCCCCGTCGTCGTCGCCCACGCTAGGATAAAACTTTAATTACGATGCCCTTTTGCGACATTTTAAACTCATGTATTATACAGCCGAGGTCTTTGTTAATGCTCTCAAGTACTACAAAAAAGGGTTTAAATAGCATTAAATATTGATAACGATAACGGTATTGGATAACTGAAAAAGGGATGGCCCATCAATAAGGACATGCCGTGGAAAATTGCGTGCCAAATATGCCTTTAGCGCATTTTTCCCTTTGTCTTAATTTCGCCCAAAAAGGTAGCAGCCAACCCCCCATCCACATCCCTTGTCACATGGCGCATGAAAAATTGAATTACACGCACTTTTGCGCATAAACGAGAGCAAAAATAAAAAAAAACACAAAATGTTGAGTGAAAAATGCGGCCGATTTAGGGTTTTCGCTGGAGGAATGGGTCTGGAGTTACCGGGAATTACGGATGCGGAGGTGGCCCAGCTGCTTGTGGTACCAAATTCACGGCCAGCAAATTGAGTTAAATATTCCTTTTTTTTCGGTTCGGCTTACTTGCCTTTCCCTTTTTTTTTATCCGCAGAAGGTATAATATAATTGTCCTGCCGCACACGGTAATTCAATGCATATTTGATTTTATGATTTCGTCGGCACAAAGGAGCATTAATGCATATCGAATGAGGCCCTTCGAAATCGAATCGAATCATCATAATTGTCAGGGGGCGTAAACTTCGACCATTAGGCCATCTAACTGAAGATGAAAGATGCAACTTGGCGGCCAAATCAAATTTGATCATATTACCTTTTTATATTGAAACCGTTTTCTGTATTGGTTAAATAGACCTTTTTAAAACATAAAATCTACGATCTATTGTCCATAAGATCCGTTTGACTTATATATAATTCCGATTAGTGAAGTTCGATTTAATGATTAATATCTATTCGTTGTTACAATTCACAATTGCATTAAGAATGAAACCCAAAATCAAAACGAAGCATAATTACCAGGATAAAAAACTTCAGCCATCAGGCGAAGCCAACTGTGAATGAAAACTGCATCTTGAAGCTGGCTAAAGGACTCCATCACAGGATCTCGGCTTAGCTCAGAAAAAGTTATCCCTCAGTCTAAATGTCATTAGGGTTTTGTCGGCTGCATTTGCTTGGCTCGACTGACAAACTAATTTGCGTAATGTTGACGAAAAACTTTTTATTTGACTTGCTGACTTGGCCCAAAGCCCACCCACTGTGCCACCTCCTTTTTTTTTGAAAGACAGCCAAGAAATAAAAGCGAGACGATTCAAAACTTTGTGCCAGTTTGCACTGCATTTCAAGATGTTAAAATGGGGCGCGGGGTGGCAATTGTCAGGCTGCGGTGCCTTGGCTTAAACTAGTTTGCCTGCCAGGATTTAAGTTTGAGTTGCAAATTACGCCGCCGACTTGAATTAAACGTTTCAGATATCACGCATACGCACCGCTGACTCGCAGACGCCTCTTATCCTTTGGCTTTAATGTGCATTTCATGAAAATGACTTTCACGATCTGCATAAAATATTCAAATACACCGCTCGAGGGGCCGAGATTTTCCGGGACCCCAACGCATTATCTGGCATAAGTGTTCGGTTCCGAGTGTATTTCGTTGTTTTGGTTTATCTCAAATTATGCGCGTGGCGTTGGAAAATTAAAATATTTTCCTCATTCGCCGCGGCGAGCAATTAATCAAGACTGCCGCTGAATGATATGCGGTGCGGGAGTTATGAGTTCGCATTTAGGCCGAATATTTTTGGGCCAGGATCTGATTTATGAGAGGACTCCGGCCACCTGTCGCCCCCGCAGCTCGTCGCCTTTCTAAGCCCTGGAAAAGCTCCGACAACCAGCTCATCGTCCCGCTCGATATCCCGCTGCAATGTGTCACTTTCGGTTTTATTCTTGTCTTGCCTCAGATTTCCGCCCCTCTTCCGTGGATCCTGATATTGCAGAGGAAAAAACTATTTTGTATTGTATTAACTTTTATTACAATGGAAATAACATTTTAGAATTTAAATTTATAATACTTACATAAGTTAATAAAATCAATATTACAGTATTTTAACAAAATTAAGAAGGTCTTTATTTTAAATCATTTTATTGTATCTGTGTTGTGCGCTTGGGGGTAGTTTCATAATTTTGAATGTGTTGTTTTAAATAAGTATAAAATAACACATATATGTGTACAAAATTAGTTTCTTCTTTGTAAAAATAAAAAATGTATTAATTTATATGAAGTGTAAATATCACTTCTAACTAAAATGTAAATGTAAATGTAAAATATTCTATTGTAAATATCATATTTCCAGTATTCGATATTGAGTTTATTGTATGATAAGGCATGTTGTAATCCAAATCAAGTTAAGATCCATTCTGTATTATTCATCAGTGTATTCTGCTGTTTTTTCTCTTTCGGCACTTGCCAACTTTAATATGTTGGCACGGCGTTCGCGTCGAGTTTCCATTACATTGCAGCGGAAGCCGGATGTTGAAATTGTTGAGGTTGCTTCGTCAGCGTGGAAAAGTTGTGTGTGCGGGTGTAAGCAGCTTAGCAGACTCCTTCGACGGCTGGCAATGTTGAGGAAATTGCGAGGAATACCATGGCTACCGCGACGCGATTCGAAATCGAATCCGGACGCAAACACGAAACCCAATCGCGGTCTTTCTTTAAATGTTCAATCAAAAACTTCTTACAGCTTCTCGACGAATGATTCAATTTCTCCACAATTGTCGCAGCTTAACTCTTAAGCGGAAACTCGCTTGAAGTGGAAAAGCCATAAAACAGTCATCACTTTTCACTAAACATGAATACGACACATTTTGGCTATGATTCAGCACCCTTCATTTAAGTCAGCATTCAGACTTTTCCAGTAAATATAATTAAATAAAATGGATGTCATCTGAATTCGTGAAATAAATTCAAATGAAAATTCGGATGAAACTATTTTCAATTTGATTAGTCTTTGAATGTCATCTAGTTCCAATTATTTGTTGGCAACAGTATTAAATATACAGTTGCTGTGAAAAACGTAAATGTAGATTTGTGAGCCACTGTTTCATTTCACATACTTTTCAGGTTAAAATAAATATTAATGTTCTTTAAATGGGTGATTTTCCTATACTTTACTCCGTGCTGGCCTGTTGCGTGACATTCGATATTCGTGTTTTTCCTTTCCGCTGCCGCTGCTATTCCACAGAAGCTGACTTTCCACTTTCTTGCCGAGAAAATGCGTGTGTCATAAATCTACTCCCGCGCCTTTCGCTTAAAATCAAGCTATTTATCACAAGGCGGCGAGGACGACGTCATGCTGCTTGCGGTGGCAGCCAGGATACAAGGATGCCTGGATTCAGGGATGCCAGGATGCCGGAATGCCAGAATGCCATAACGCTATAACGCCACGATGCCGCACTCTTATCATCATCGAAGTGGGAAGTGGGCGGAGGCGCATATGTTCCGTAGCTGTTGATGCCTCTCCGCAGGATTTTTTATGGGTCTGCCAACGCGGACCGCCTGCTGAGGTAAAAAGTTGCGGACAACAAACTTTTCTTTACGCTCAAGCTCCTTTTTGCTCCTTTTTCGGCTCCCTGGTGCGTGCGAAGGTGACAAGAATCCGGTAATTTGTGCCTTCAAGGTTAAATGTTAATGTTCGCCATTATACAAACATTTGACGTTTTGTTTTGCAAGCAGCAAACGGGTTATGAACACGTGCGACAGTCCAAAAGGTCCTCGTTGCGTATACGTAATTTTTGATGTTCCTGCTAATTTGACTGGCGCCAGGTAATAATACTCCCCCACTAAAGGTTGCCATTAGTTTGTATAGGCTGCCGGCCATAATTTAAAGAAGCCAAACTAAACACTACCAACGACAATGTTTATGCTTAACTGTTTTTGCCCACCGAACGGAGTTGGGCGAGCCCAAAGGCCATACAGTCGGACCTCAAAAAGTAGAACTGTGATCTGCTAAGTGAAACATGTATTAGTTACATACATATATAGTTTTTTTAGGAGTTATCCATGCTTTTACATTTTGCTTTAAAACAATGGACCTTTAAATAATTTCGTGACCAATAATTTTATTGCATATTATCGTTTGTTTTTCACCTTTTAAAATAAACTATTATTTATTCTTGAGAACTGAATAGTTATAAGAAAATTTTTTGATTTATAAACTTGTGAAAGAAATGAAAAAATTGTAAACAATCTAAATGGATTATCATTTGGAGATTTAGGTTTAATTTCATTAAAGTCCGTCACACAATATTTTTTTTATAAGCGCAGACAAGAACGGCCATAATAAGCCACAAAAATCTGTCCCCAAAATACAAACATAAAAAGACCACGACAATCATTCTATTTATATTCCATTGATATTTTCCTCTTGAATTAGTTCCTGAGCTTTTTTCAATAATTTTATTTTACTTTAAGAATCTATTTTTTTGCACAAGCTCTTTTGTTACTTATTTTCCTAGAATCGATATCAAACTCATATTGGCAATCTGTATTTTATAGAAGTATGACTGTCTTTGCGGAATGACCTTTTTGGGGCTGCCTGGAGAGAGTCTTGAAATGGCTGCTAGGCGACCATCTTAATGGCAGCTCCAAATGTTGCTAATGTTAATTTAAGAAAATATCCCGACCCGGCCGTGGGCGAGTGTGTGTGTGTGTGTGTGTTGCCTGGAAACACTTGCGGTGTGGCAACATTTGTGCATTATTATTTGCGGTCAAGTCTTTTGCGGCTTGGCCTTTTAGCATATCCAAACCCCTTTGGAGCCGCAGCAAATAGCTTCGCCAGCAGCGAACTAATTAAAGAAATATTCATTTGAAAATACTTGTAGCTCCGGCGGAAATTACACACACACACACACACACACTCACGCCTTGACACACCGCTTTGGCTTCGCTTGTGTGACGTGCATGAGGCAATCAATTACGGCGAACCGTTTTGCCAAAAAAAGCGTGTTGCCTACTTTCCGGCGCCCGCGTGTTTGCCAACACAGCAGCACAATTAATTATGTACATTGGGGCCCCTTTTTCCCACCATCACCCCTTCCTCTGCTGTTTGCCCAAGTCTGTGTTTGCCCACACGCAGGGAAAATATGTGCGGGGATTTAGTTTGCCCACATATCATGT